CTTTAAGCAAGCCAATGATCCAAATGTTTTGGACCAATTCAGAATCAGGCATGATAGTAAAGTTACTCATAGGTCATCACCTGATTTGGCAAGTGAGGAGCACCACAAGGGACCACACAGGTGGTCACAGGTGGCTGATGGTTTCCCTACAGCCCAAGAGAAGACCCACCAACCCAGCTCCCACTGCTCAACTACCTGTTCCTCTCTACTATGGGCATTTTTTTCTGTGCTTACCATGTCTCGATTTCAGAGCTTCCCTAGTGTCCTCTCACAGCACCCAACAGCACAGCTCAGAGCAGGAAGCAGAGAACCATGCAAGCCTGCACTGATGCAGCAAACTTGCTGAGAGAAACCAGAAGATCCCACCTCTTTGTCTGACTGGCAGATCCACCTGGAGGCCTGATTGGCCAGTGAATTTTCCTCAAGGTTAAAGTGTGCTTCTGGTCTAGCTCAGACCTTTCAGATCTCCTGAATTGTTTACACTCCATTAGCATTTGTGCCTCTCCAAGAGGAATCTCACCTCACCCAGCCCTGGGGGAGAACTCACCAATCCAGCTCAGGCTATTCAGATACTTGTTCCAACCCCCCTCTGTGAGCACTGATCCTGCACTTACCAGGACCAGACTTCAGACCTTGCCTGAGCTCTCCTCACAGCACTTGCTTTCTTCCTGAAATCAAGGTGAATAGCTTTCATAGGTGCAGTGGAGGAGGTATCAATCTGATTCAGGAGTAGAAGAGTGCCCAGTCTATTAACATTCAAGAAGGATTTTGGGAAACAACAGTTTTGTTTTGTGGCCTCATGCTGGGCTCAGGGAAACTACAACTCCCTTTCACCAGATGATTGGTACGAAACAACCCTGGGAGAAAAGCCAGAAACTTAAGGGAAACACTGTTGAGCAACTATTGTGAACCAGCACATCTTCATCAGTGATGAAGCAGAGAAAAACCACACTTGTATTAGTTCAGGTTCTCTAGATGAACATATCTCAAATCATAGAGAGAATGAATCTCTCTATACATATAGAAAGGATATTTAATAGACTGTCCCAATAAAGGCTGTCAGCCGAGGGAAAAAGCAAAGGCTGGTCGATTTCGTGTTACAGGAAATGACAGCTGATCTTCAGTTTATACTAGAATTGTGAAGAAATAAGTACTTACTAATATCGTGCGTAGAAGTTATAATAGTCCTAACAGTCTGAATTTTGTGGATGTTTCCCCACTCACATAACAGAATCCTTCCATGACATCTTCAATGACTCTCTTATTTTCAGAACCCTTGTCTTCACTTTAGTTTTATTTTGGCCCCTTAGAGGACTCTTCTCTGAGGCACCATAAATGCTGCTCTTTTTTACCACTGCTTTGGTCAGTATGAAATGTAGGATAATCCATTTTACAAAGAAATATAAAGAAAGAAAGGATAATCCATTTTACATGTTTACCAAAGAAAACATATATGCTCTCAAGGCTGACTAGTGTGCCAGCCCACTCCTATTCATCTTGCCACTGCATCAACAGTGTTGGATTCACGGAGCATTTGTGAGAAATCTAAGAATGGGAAAGATGCCAGCAGTGATGACACACACCTTTAATCCCAGCACTTGGGAGGCAGAGGCAGGCAGGTTTCTGAGTTCCAAACCAGCCTGGTCTACAAAGTGAGCTCCAGGAAAGCCAGGGTTCCACAGAGAAACGCTGTCTCGAAAAACAAATAATCAAAAAAAAAAAAAAAGAAAAGAAAAAAGAATGGGAAAGACTAAATATAGAAATGTAAGACACATTGCCATACAACCATTTCTTCAAATGTGATAAGGAAGGTAGTTCAGGTATTTGTGGTGGCCATGCAAACCAGAGGATCTGAATTCCATTAAAAGGATCCTTGGAGAAACCCTAAGATACTGATTGGAACTAATATTCTGTGTGAGTTATGTGATTATACACAGATTCATTGAGCATGCTCAGGAGTGAGAGACACCATTATGCAATTCATCCTCTATGGATTTGCTATATCTATCCCTTTGATATAACTTGGTCTTTCACACGATGTAAACGAGACTATAAAATTCCCAACACAGGCATCCTCAAGTACATACACACATGCATACACAAACAGACACACAAACACAGACACACACACATACACAGGCACACAAGCAGAGAGAGAGAGAGAGAGAGAGAGAGAGAGAGAGAGAGAGAGAGAGAGAGAGAGAG